AGAAAACAAAGCAAATCACTACTGTGACAGTGGTTTGGAAATGTGTTCTTAATTTGCATTAAATTTCGTAAACTTTTTCTTTGATTTTCTCCAAGAAATATTCATGAGTTTGAGAAGTAATTTGAAACACTCGAGAGAGTTCTTCCTCTGATTTCCAAACACCTCAAAGTCAGATAAAAAAACTCGGCTGCGCCTCGTTTTTTCAACTCATTTTTCGGTGTTTGGAAATCGGAGGAAAAACTCTCTCGCGTGTTTGAAATATTACATAAAATTGTCGTCATTTGAATTCATTTTTAATATGAATTTGTTCTGTCAAATTCACTCCCATCTCAAAATTTGTAGTAAATCGAATCGYCCTGTGGCGAAGTCGTGAATATTAACTGCATTTTTCAGAGACTCCATGTGCCCTTCTTATGCTTGTTGACATTCGAAGGATTCCAAGTATTTCGCTCGATTTAACATTTTAAATACTCAATTTAGCTCGTAAGATGAGTAATCGTCCTTTATATTTTCCTTTTAACACCTACTTTGTTTAGTTCTTTGTTATTTTGTTGAGTATGGAAGAGAATTCTGTGATGAAGTCAAGTTTAGAGTAAAATTGGAATAACTATCTATTTGCTAACGCTTTATCTGATTCCTTTATTGATTATATTCTTCAGATATTGTTTTTTTATATATCCAAACCAGTGAAGTGGAACTGTGAAACTCGGTTAGCAAAAGGATTCAAAACTTCTTAGCGAAAAGTATTGTTAGCAGCTCTGATTACCGCGTAAAATTTAACGATATTTCAAAGTGCTACTTGGACGAAAATCGCTCCAAAATCAAGACTCTTTCATTTGAGCTGAAACTTCGCTGAAATAATCCTTGATACATTAATAATCACTCACTGAAATATCTTTCTGATATTCGAAAGAAAAGTGCCGAAATTTTATGGTTGATTTTCGTCCGCCATYAATTTGTTTGTCTCACGGCCAAAGAGTCATTATGTACAGCGGTTTCTCTCTGTGACGTCATACATGCAACCCATTCAAGTTAGCGTCGCTTTGACCATACATTTCTTGTTCGATTACCTGAAGTTTATTTGATGTTTTAACGCGTTATCGTGAAAAGAATGAACTCAGTAAACTTTTTTTAAAGCTTTGATACCTTTTCAAATGGTGGAAAGTCCTTTGGACGTTCTCTTTGTCAATCCTGAAGAGTTAGAACCAGTTGCTACCAACGAAGAAGTTATTGTGTATAAGAGAGAAGATGAAGCCGAACTAGAAGAAGAAGCAATGCTTGCGAGGAGGTTTTCGTAAAAATTCCTTACTTTCATTCCATGATTTGTATTTGCTACATACTGTCCATGATATAAAGATCTTAAATTTGAAGTTTCTTACAGCTATTGATGTTATAAAAAAAACCCGATTGCGTTGTGATGTGAAGATTTGTTGATAATTACTTAGATCTGTGTGCCGAATAATTTAGAATGCGAGCTCGTAATTCTCCTGATTTGCTACAGAACGTTTATTATTTGCTCCAAAATGTTTATTATGCATTTAATAGGTAAAAACATACGATTATCTAATATCATCTTTGTAAAAAAAAAAACATGTCAAAGGTTTCTTATTTATTACTCGCCCGACAGCGGCGTCTGTCACTCAGCTCGTAGATTTTGATTTTGTGGCTTTTGGGTCTCGCGGACCCAAATTGTGAGGTTGCTCTTTGCACTTGTATGTGAATATACCTTGAAAAGTTGTTATCCTTAGAATGATTCGAATAAATCCCGAATCTCCCTGTCACTTCGAGCGATGGAGCCGCTAGAATAACTCCCATGCATCCTATGAACTTTGTTGTGATTCTTGGCGTGCCGAGATGTATTGAAATTTCCCAATTATGATCGTCAATATTATTGAAA